AAATTGCAATTGAAATAAAGTTGACTAAACAGTAATTTTCTAGGGAAAATAAACAAATAAGAGTATTTTGCTATATCTTGCATTCCCATTGTCGAAATAGTATAGCAAACCTGCAGAATATGTGACAACACGTTTGGGATAGTGGTGCAAATGTACGCAGATAGACTGTGAACTGCCTCGTGAATGCACATCATGCTCTAACAAGGACAAGTTTTCGCTGACAGTATTTGTGTACTTGGAATTGATTAAATTACAGTGGTATATCATGTTGCAGTCCACTGCTGGAACTCTTTGCTGAATAACTGAGGTAATGAGCTTAAAACCAGCCAAAAGCAAACTCAGTCAAGGTTGGTTTATTCGGTATGTCTAACTGTACCACAAGATCCTTGGTTAGCAACTAACGCATCCAGCAGCCTGTTGCTTATATCCTGTTTTGGAGTGTAATCCTTTGCTGATTAGCTATAAAACTGCAGGATTTTGTGCACTATTAATTGTAGCACCCTTAATGGGCTCTGTGTTCATTGCTGGTTCTCCTTAGTTGTTAATTTATCAGCAGATTATGACAAATGCATGCACTTAGAAATCTTTAATTACATGCAATATGAGGACAGATGAAGCAGATGCGTATGGAAACTCAGAATGTTCAATCTGCAGTAAACCCAAACTGTACAGAGAGCGCTTAAGAAGTAAGATGAAGAAAATGCCCCCAAAGAATTTTCTTTAATTTGTCCTTTTAGGTCTTTTGGAACTCAGGTGCATAGAAAAAAATCACAAACACACATTTTGCACACAAATAAGCACACACACACACACACACACACACACTGCTTTAAATGAATCCATTAAATTCCATTCTAATTTGCATGGGATTAAAATATTACACAGGTTCAGCGTGGCTTTCAAGAGATTTAGGGATGCCGCCAGCATCGTCTCAACGGTGTGACCTTGCTGCCGGTTACTGCAAAGATGGAACAGATTGTCTTCTTTCGGCTTGGTTTTATAATCTCTAAATTTTAGGTGGCATCCACACACAATCAAAGCGTGCATGTCAAATGTTGTTGAGAGAAATGTTGTTCTTACTTGTCTTACGAGGACAAGACCCCTGACTGTTCTGTGACATTCACGGTGATATGGCTGCAAGTCAAGCTTTTAAATTATCTTAACTACCTTTCAAGAAGTGTACATGTCAGTATGTACTGTATGCACGTGCCCAGATTTAGTATCTACAAGATGCATTTTCTTAAATAAAAAGCAAAAACACCTCCAGATATGTATATCTGTGGAAGTCCTGTACTGATCACTTGCAAGTGTCTGTGATTTTTATCATAGCATTTATTATGTCTGCATAAAGTTTTGAAGATTACTGCTGATAAAAAAAAAGTGTTGGGTTCAAATAGCAATTGTCACTTTTCACTGACTTTACTTCCCAGGTTTGGCTACCTGTAACTTAATCCTCTGGCTGAAATGAAATTCAGGTTTAGGGGTTGCCTTTGTTGCATGGGACACTTTCAGCTGATGGGTATGTGCAAGTGGTCACAACAAAACTTTCAGGCGACCTAAATAAGCAGGAGCACTCTGTTGAAGGGGATCCATCAGTGTTTCTTCCGCTTATTCAGTTCAGGAAATAGAGGTCAAATTTCATCAAACAAGGTTTATGCTTTTTATGGAGTCGAGGCACTTTTTCCATCGTGCCCTGTTTGTGTGTACTTTATGTGTGTGTGCATGTCATGCACATGTAGTTCTTTTGAGGGGACACTCATTCATCTGTTTGAAATCCCAACTTAAACTTAATTCAAAGTAACCTTCAAGTAGAAGTAGCCTTTAGTGAGGAGTGGAAAAACATGTCCTTGTACTTAAAATTGGTGCTCGCAGAGATAGGAGACCTGCAGCAGGCATGCTCACACAGCGTGATTCCTCGCTGTGTTTGTGTTAGTTTAGTGATGGTGTGAAGGATCATGTCTCCTGTCTACTGTGTAACTCAGATCAGCTTTTATAGGTCAGCGCACTCTAGGAGGAACACACACATCACACCACACACTTACCATCTTGTCCTGCTTCTTCTTACTCTCATTGACACACTGTCCTCTCCTCACACCTATAGTCCTCTCACTTGCTTTTCTTTTTCAAACCTGAAGGGAAAGAAAGCCACAAGGAAGGCTTTTTTGAAATTTCCACACACACACAGCCTTCTTTGTGCTAAGATTACCTTGTTTTTTTTGTTTTTTTAATGCCCTCTGGATACATGAGGATTAAATCTCAACTTGGTTTTTGTTTGTTTGAGAGCATGAAACTGATGCAAGACTTTAGAGCTGTTGCTATTTTCCAACATTTTTCTGTAATTTAAATGATTAAATTCAAAGTTATTGTGACTCTTTTCTGTGTTTCAGATCTACCCTCTGTGTCCATTGAGGGATACGACCACAACTGGTACGTTGGCCGTTCTGATGCCACGCTGGTCTGCCTGGCTAACGCCAACCCCGAGCCCACAACAATCACCTGGACTGCGTAAGAGTCACACTTAATCCATCAGGATATCTGGGATGCTTTTTGTCTTATTGCCTTCTGCTTTTATTTACATTTTACTCCTGACCTTCTTGTAAATTGGGTTTTAGTTGTAATCCCTGCAGAAATATGCCTGACAATCTTCTTTTTCGCTGTAATGGTAATTAAGGGCAAATGGTGAGCCAGGTGTATGAGACAGGTGCGGTTTTTTGAAGGCCTGTTTGACTGGTTGTTTATCAGCAACATTACACAGAAACTTCTCCGAGAGGAAGAATATGGGCAAAGGAAAAACCCACTAAATTACGTACAGATCTGGAACTTTTTCATTAAAATCACAAAACTGGGGCACTGGCCTTGGCAGAGGATGTTTCTTTGCCATGCTTTGGCAAAAGATTTTTTTTAAGTAGACATTCAAATGCATTTGTGTTTTTTAAAAAAAGAAAAAAAAAGTCGTTCTGATGGACAGATGGCTTGCTTTCTCTTTATGAATATTGAGCAGGGAGACAGAATGGCTGTTCGCATGATTTTTCACACATTACTGCCATCTTTGAATATTGCAGCAACAAACCATGTTCCTCAAACCACATTTTCTGTCTTTTCCCATTTTTTCTGTTTTTTTTCTTTATTCTCCTTCTTTCTTTCATGATTTTGTCTTTTCAATTTTCCCCCTCATCTTATTTATCCAATTTCTCCAAATATATGACCTCGTCGCTGCTTCCTTTTCGTCCCCACCGTCTTGTCTCGTCATTTCTTGTTATCCCTGATTTACACAATGACTTACTTCTCCTGCTTTACTTCTTCATTACTTTGTTCCATTCCTCTCTGCTCTGATCCTTTGTGATCTCACCAAAAACCTGTACTCACGACCTCACTTTTATGTCCTCCCTGCTTCGCCTTCCTTCTCATCTTTTCCCCATCAACAGGGCTTCTGGTCCTTTGCCAGAAACAGTGGTGGTGGAGGGCAACAAGCTGACAGTGAGGAAGGTGGATGATGCTGTCAACACCACCTTCATCTGTGAGGTCAAGAATCGGCTCGGGTCCAGCAGGAACCAAATCACCACTGTTGTCATTGGTGAGTCTATTAACACAGTGACAACACACACACAAACAAGCACACACGACTTGTATATGTGTGGATGTTTGCACAAATGAAATGGAAATCCATGTATATTTACCAGTCAATATGATGAATACACACTGGTGACCCAACACAATACTCCATCACACCCAGCAGGAATACAGCAAACAGCATGTGATCACTGCTTGCACACAGACACACTCACATACACACACACACACACACACTGTGAGCCATGCTAGTTCCCTGACAATATTCCACAATGTCCCAGTGCACATATGCATGCACATATAGTCTCATACGCCTCTTCCGGTGGATGGATACACTTGCAGACATGCATGCACAGAAACATACATTTCTCTCTCACCCATGCACACATTCTGGGATCAGAGCTGATCTGAGAGCTGCAGGGATGCTGATCTCTCTCAGTCTTCACATCGGATTGTTTTTTTAATGTTTTCCTCCTCACTGGCCAAATTTTAGCGAGGCACAGTGGAGGCCTTTGATTGACCCTTTCCCCACAGCAGGGCCAAAATGCAAGACAAGGGCCGGTGTTTATAACCTCCGATCGAAAGCACTCTCTTGAAACTGAACTTTGCACGGCTACACTGCAGCGGGAATCTGTAGCTCTGCTGGATGCAAATTCAAAGTGAATTGTGGTGTATGATAGGCCCTTCTACACGAGTTTTGGCCCTGCAGTGGATGCAGCGGTGCTGGGATTGTTGGACGATTCCCAGATTCTTTCAAGGGGTTCAAGTTGGTGTGAGCCAGTTTGCCCAGGTTTGCTTTTCTTCTTGTTTTTCTTTTTTCATTTAGCTTTTTCTTACCTTTTCCTTTCATTGCATTTTTTTTGACTAACACTTACTAAACAAGGGAACTGAGTCGTTCACATTTTCTTTCCTCTTTCACCTTTGAATTTCTCCTTCTGGTAACAGTATAATGGTGGTGTCTGCATGCAGTCTTGATCTTTCTGCTGGGTCTTGACTTTTGACATTTACCAGTGAGATGATTTGGTCACTGTTGCCACGACTTTCGGTCACAGTTTCTTCTTCTACACCCCCCCCGCCTTCTGATGCTTCAATATACGAATCCTACACACATGCACACACCTCTAAACTCACAAGCACGCAAACACAAACCCAGGAACAAGTCTGGATGTTGAAATGCCTCATTGCACGTCAGCAGGCAGGCCTCAAATCTTGTTAGTGTCATTTTAATCACTGTGTGTGTGTGTGTATGTGTGTTTCCACAGTGCACTCCACACTGACTGCTTGACTGGTCAAAATGTTTTTCTTTCTTCCTTCCACATTTTTTTTAGAAGAATTTGTTAGCATAATCACCATGTGGAGCTTTACAACAAAGGAAGAGAAAACATAAAGAACAAAAATCATACACTCTTGCCAAAAGAGAGTGCGAAAACTACATTTAGAAAATCCGTGGGAAATCGGAGAAGGAGATTGGAATTGTTTCCTCTGAGAAAAAAGATTCTTTGTAGCCAGACGGTGCGCTGGGAGTGTGGGAGGTTCAGAAGTGGCTAAGCTGCTACTGTTCTTGCTCGAAGCATAGCATTGAGACTGACTCAAAGTATCACGGAGGGTATACTTTCCCCTACTAGCACACACACACACACACACACACGCATAATACACATAAAATAAGAGTTAACGCTCTAAAATCCTTTACAGACACAAGTAAAACCTTCACGCTATCCGCACACACTTTAAACTCTTTGAGGACAGGCAAATGTTTCATCTTTCTAAGTAACTGACATCAAGCCCAGACTTTGTGATGGTTAAATGTGTCCTTGGTGTTTCAGGGTTTGCCTGTTTTCGACAGCAGCAAAACAGCTAGATGATATAAAGTAACAAAGCGACTTAATCTCTCATTTTTGGAATGCTTACTTATAGAATTTGAGTCCAGCTCTCAGAAAAAAGGCTTTTTGTTTGACTGCTTAGTTCTCCTCCCTTTTCTGCAACGTGACTGCTTGTGATGAATTATACAACTGAAGTAAAACTCAACAACGTGTTGATAAAATTTGACAGAGAACAGCCAAAGTGTCCTTAAACACCGTGGAAAATTCCCTTTTTTTGGTAATGCGCATTCCATTGTTTCCACACAGGTCCAACATATCACCTCAAGAATTTTCATGCATCAGACATAAATCTTTGAAATGCATTTCATTTCAATGTCGTTCTTTACAACTGCTGGACTATAATCAATAGGAGCTGGCAATGAAAGGAAAAAATGTCCTGCGCTTCTGAGTTAGACCATCTCATCAAAACCCCATAAATGACTTCGGCTGTCCAATCAAGGTTAAAGCACCTAAATTAAGGACTGAATTAGAATTGCAATCACAGTCACTGATAAACCAAAACTAAAGCCTTAATGTCTGCTGGAGGTTTTCTACCTATCTAGCTTCTACAGTGTGACAGAATGATACAGAGGAAGACCTGTTATCAACAATAACATTTATCTGATAAAGCAAATAAATGATAAAACTGCCACAGCTTATCTGGGGAAGAGTGTTTACTTCTGTTTACTTCTGAAAGCTTTGATTAAATTATGTAAGTGTGTAAGGCATTTAACAAAGGTGGAACTTATTTAATACATTTTATTTATTGAATTAGAAAATGGAGCCAGATCATCCAGCACCCGGTTGTGAACTGACAGTTTTAAGCCCAGACTTTGAGATGGTTAAATGTGTCCTTGGTGTTTCAGGGTTTGCTTCTTTTCCACAGCAGCAAAACAGCTAGATGATATAAAGTAACAAAGCGACTTAATCTCTCATTTTTGCAACGTTTACTTATTGAATTTGAGTCCAGCACTCAGAAAAAACATCTTTTTGTTTGACTGCTTAGTTCTCATCCCTTTTCTGCAACGTGACTGCTTGTGAGGAATTATACAACTGAAGTAAAACTCAACAACACACCATCAGGCATGAGCATGTTCAGTGATCTTTCTATGCTTATAATACTTTATATAAATATAAAAGTAATTTATGATTAAATCTTTGCCCCTTCAAGACACTGTGGCATTTATGAATATTGGCATTGTAAATGACATCAAATAAGCTCTTATTTGTGGTGAAAGCAGGTGAATCATGAACTGTAATGAGTCTTCTTCACTCCACCAGGCCTGTCATCAGATCCACAGCCCAGTGAATATTTCAATTTCTGTTCTTTTGCATTGGCCCAATTCGAAAAGAACCCTACCGGGAAAAGTCACAGCACTCCAGATGGCCAGTCTGCCACTGGTAGTGAATTACAACAGGAATGGATCATTTGATTCACCTTTGTAAAAATCATCATCAAACATTCGGCTCAATGACCGATTCACCGACATGTGAGTGGCTAATGAAAGCACACACCGAGAGTTGAACCACTGACTCTAGTGAGCTAATTAATCATGCTATGTGCAAAACATGATACTGTCAGTCTGATATGGTTTGAATCAAGCGATTTAACTTCCGGTGCTTTCATTTTTATGTGCAACTCGTGGTTTTCAGTAGGGAAATCATGCAACCGTGTGATATTCACCTTAATTATATGTTGGAGTGGTGTTCCTTTTTATACCGCTGGTATTTAAGAAAAACACAAACCTCGGTGTTCCTTTTTGCCTTTCATTTTATACAGCTTCACGGTAAAACTCGTCCAATCATTCAACAATTACACCTTGCGCTGAGACATTTTTGGCATTAAATTGTGATTTCTCTCTAGTGACCCGTATCAACATGCATTTATTGAGCCAATTAGTTCAGCTCAGGCTACAGGTTTAGTCGAGGAAGGAGATCATTACAAGTGACCCTTTCACCAACGAGGCTGGCCGTATCAAAGGTCAGCGCAGTTATGGAATGCTGTGGAGGCTGGAGCCGTAATGAATTAAATTGTGGTTTGGTATGTTGTGATATAGCTAAACTGTGCTATACAGATACTTCACATTGTGACTCCAAGCGGATTATATGTATAGCTATATTTAAAGAACTTCTACAGCACTTCTATAGTAGAGGTTTTACTGACTGTTGTTGAATTTATTAGGCATCATGTTTTTTAAATTATTAAATCAGAGCGATACTGATTGTTGTTCTGCAGCGTGTGCTCTATTATTACAAATTCACCACTTGCCACTTGTGGCAGAAGCCAGTTCCAGTCTCTCAGCATGAGTTGTAAACCGTTTGGCATGGAAGACCCCAGCTTCCCATAATGTAACAGTTAATATCCCAGGCACTCTGTGTACACGGGCTCATAACGCCCTGCTAATTTTCCCGCTGAGAACTGTTAACATCTTTTCTCTGTTCTGCTAAATGGTAGATGAAAGTATCATGCTGTCTCGCTTTTCTGCTGCCGTCAAGCAGCCGTCACGTGTCGTGATGTCCCACAGCCTCTGTTGCTTGGAGAAGGATGGAGAGGAGCTGTATTGTGGTAGAATTGGCTGTATATAAAAGATCGACTTGATTCTGGGAAAGTGAAGGAAATTTTGAAGTGATTTAAACCTGCATTTCTTCTGATTGTGACATCAAACTACCTCTCACTTTAAGAACTCAGCTCTCGATAGTTAGCTTGGTGCCTTACTTATTCCGAAATGATGCTATTTTTTGTAATTTCGTATACTATAGTCCCTTGTGAAATGTGAAAGGGACCTCTCGCTGATAGGATGCTACTTTATGAGCCTGGATAGGATAGGTTCATGTTTTAAATGCAGTCTGGATGGACTGTATAAGAAAGACCACAATGATGGGGAAAGGGAAGTGAGGCAAAGGGAAAAGGGGTTGGAGAAAGGAAGGAAGGAAAGAAGGGGGGTCAAGACGAGTTGAAAGAAGAGCTTGAACTACTTGGAGGCATTTTGAGAGCCGTAATAAACACGGACACCCACACACAGCGCACACTCTCCTGGCCCATTTCCTTCTCATCCATCTTAAGCTCTCAGGAATAAATGTTACTGTCATACAGCTCGAGATTTTTGTTTTTCGCTGATGAGAGTCAAGTGTGTAGAGCATC